AAAAAAAAAAAAAAAGGTTCCCCAGAAATGGACAACTGCATACGTTCCTGGCGGGAATAGAAACGGCACAGCCCCTCTGGTTCATGGCGTTACCCCCAACTGCCAAAGTGAAAACACCCACCAACTGATGAACAAGTACACACAATGCATTCTGGCCGTGGGACACTACTGGGCCACGACACTTGGATGAACCCGGCCAACACTGCTCGGTGAGAGAAACCAGTCCTATCGTGAGGTCCCGTCCACCTGCAATGTCTGCAATAGGTCGATCCAGAGGGGAGAGGTTGCCAGGGGCTGGGGCTGTCAGAGGGGCGTGGGGATTAACTCCTTCGTGGGTGAAGAGTTTCTTTTTGGAGTGGTAAAAATATTCTGGAAGTACAGGGCGGACGTGCAACCCTTCGGTCGATCGGGAAGCAGGCCGGGTCTCGACGCAGCTGTTGCTGTGGTGGGGGAGGGGGGAGCCGGGGCGTCACCTTGTCCGCCAGCTGCCTCTGCAGCTCAGCCGTCTCCCGAGAGCCGCGCTGCTGCTCCTGGCTCAACGCCGCCTCCTTCTCCCGCACCAGGCCCTGGGCCGCCAGCAGGTCCGCCTCCTGTCGCTGCACCGCACTGCTCAGCTCGGCCTTCTCTGCGCTCAGTGCGTCCAGCCTGGAGCTCAGCTCCGAGCCGCTCTGCAAACACCCGGCACGTGAGCAGGGTGGCCTTGCCCGCACCCCGTCCCCACCCAGGTTCACGGACCACCCCCGAGGGCCACGTTCTCCTTAATCTCCCCTTAGAGAACTTCCCGAAGGCCAGGGCCCCCTTCCCGTGTCCCCTGGGTCAGAGCTGCACCCCAGGACTGAACCAAGCTACTGGCATCCGGGCATGGCCCCGCTCACGGGAAAGAGGACCCTAACTCCTGCCCAGCCGGCTCCCGGAGGCCACCCCACATGCAGCGGCCATACCTGCTCCGTGCGGCTCAGGGCCTCCCGCGTGCGCACCAGCTCTCCCGCCTTGGCCTCCAGCTCCCTCTTGAGCTTCTCCAGCAGGTCAGTCTGCTCCTCCAGCTGGGACGGGACAGCGTGTCACGGCGGGCAGGGTGGAGGTGGGGGAAGTGACACCAGAGTCGGGGCCACGGGGGCCCACGCACGCCCGGGACGCACCTTCAGCTCGGACTCCCGTCTCTCTTGCTCCATCTGGAAGGCCAGCTGCTCCTTCACCCGCGCCACCTCCTCCTGGCTCTGCTGGGTCACCGTCAGCTGCTTGGCCGTGTCTGCGTTCTGCGCAGGTGAGGCACAGGCTCACGCTCCGCCACCGCCAGGGGGCCCCACTCAGCGTCCGCCCGTCACGCCCGTGCCTCCACCTACCTTCCTGAGCAGCTCGGCGTGTGTGCTGATGAGCTCGCTGTGCTTCTCCTTGAGCTTCTGGTAGCGCGCCTCGGTGGCGCTGGCCCTCTCTGCAGGGGGCAGGGGAGGCGGTGGTCCCCAGCTGCCCGCCCGCCCGCCGGCCGCCCCCCGCCCCGGCCCCGCGCCGCTCACGCACTCTCGGCCTCCTCGCGCAGGCCCTGGTTCCGCTCGCCTTCCCGCTGGGCGGCCTGCAGCTGGGTCAGCTCGTGGCGCAGCTGCTCGTTGTCCACCAGCGCCTTCTGCTTCTGCTTCCGCTGCTCCTCCAGCTCGGCCTCCAGCGCGTTCACCTGGCCCTTCAGCTGCGAGACGTAGCGCTGGGCCTGTGCGGCCCGAGGACGGTGGTGTGGGGACCCCGTGCGCGTGTGCGCCGGTGGGGGTGCGCCACACAGCCCGGCCCCACGA